CATGTGATCTGAATTTTACAAAGCTTTACAGAAGGTATTGTCAACGTCATCCACATAATTCCGTATAGTTATCATATTTTCGAACATACGTTAATGAACACTACAACATATCATTCGGCACTCCCTTAGTAGAAGTAGTAGTTTGCGTGTCTCAGAGCGAAGGAAATTTTGAGAAAGAAAATTCAGAAGAAGAAAAGTTAAAGGTTATAACAGAGCAGAGAGTTCATACGTTAGGAGCTAAAGCCTTTTATTCTTTGTTAAAAAATGAATCAAATCATAACATACAAATATTTTCTTTTGATTGTCAAAAAAATCTTTCTTTGCCAAAGCTTCCCGACCAGGCGGCTTATTTCTGACAGCAAATAAATTTTTATATTTTCACCATCGTGGCTGAAAATTCGAAATCATATCTTTCTTCTGCAAATGTGACGTCATATGTGTGGCTGGAGTTTGAGCATCCAAAAGATTCAAATGCTGTTGCCTCTGCTGTACATGATACTCTCATAAAATTCAACTTTAAAAATCAAATCCAAAAAGTTCACCTATTTGCAGATGGATCTGGTGGACAGAACAAAAATAGCACTATGATGTCTATGATAATCTACTGGTTGGTTTATGAAGCACCTGGTCACATCAAGGAAGTGGAGTTTACGTTTCATGTTGTAACTTACTTACTTACTCCGTGGCGTTACAACCCTTCGTGGGTTTTAGCCGACTCGACAACATGTTTCATGTTGTTGGTCATTCCTTTTTGCCACTAGATAGGATTTTCGGTATAATAGAAAGGGAGATAGAAGAACGTTGTAATAAACAGAAAAAGATATGAAGCCATAATTGGAAAACACTCAAAGGTGCTGAGACTTGGTAAAGACTGGCAGATATCAGACTGGAGAAAGACGAGTGACGTTGTTGTTAAGAAACCTTCCCAGCGGCATTTTAAATGTAATGCAACGAAACGATTTATATTTTCTAAGGACAAAGATTATATGACTACGGTAAGGGGGGAAATATTTTATCGTTCTGACATAGGGTTCAGCAAGTCTATAATACGAAAAGGGAAAAAGATTTCTTTATTGGAACTAAAGTTACAACAGATTGGATGTTCATTGAAAGGAGATAAATCGTCTATAGGCACTCTCCTTAGAAATCATTTTGGTGAAAATTGGAGAGACCAGCCGGATCTCAAATTTTATAAAATTATAGATATTGGCGTACAAGCAAATAATAACGAAAGTGCTGCAGAAAATGATCATATTGATGATGAGGACCCAGAGGAATTTAGAGTTTAGGAATTAATATAAATATATACATATTATAATTTGTAATACCTTTTGTACTTTGGATAAAAATAAACTTCACTAAAAGTTTACTTCCACATGCTTTCTTCCCTATTCCTAACACACTAGGTTTAGAAAACAGACTAATATAACAACCACTAATATCGTTAATGGTTGACTATTATCATGTATTTTCAAATGTTAGTTGCATAAATCTGTATTTACATAGTTCACTTGCAAAACTCGGTATTTTCAAATTTTTCTTCCTTTTCTAGCAAACCCAATAACTTTTCTAAGAAAAAATTAATATATTTTACCTAATAAAGCATTTATCTATCACAAAAAAGTTCCATTTATTAGGTCTAAAGTTTTTTGCAAATAACTCAGTTTGACTTATACAGTAAATACAAAGTTTTGCATCTAGCTGACTCATATGACGTGTGACGTTTGATCACTGCAACTGCACGGACGGCTGTCGTGATCGTTGCCGTCCTTCAAAGGCAAACGCTGACACAAATCAATCTTTGTCAACCGACCAGAGGACCAGTTGCGTTTTTGGACAGTACTCAACGTACGTGTTGCTCATTATGATTTTGTGTACTCCACCTATTGGCGACGTGCAAGTACTTGAATGTGATACGAGAAACGATCGTGCGCGAGTAGCGCAGAAATCTTGCATTTTTTACTGCACATTTCATAGATTTCATAAATTCATATTGTTAATTATCAAATTGTCATATTTCATATTCATTTTTTTTATTTACACCTTCTGTCACTGAAGAAATAAGATTTAGTAAATGCTGTGTTATAAATTGTAAAAATACAACAAAAAAATGTCAATTTAAGTTTTATTCGTTTTCAACTTCGAAGCACAAATTACTACAAAGAGAAAAGTGGATTTATATCATAAAAAAGTATAAGTAAGTAGCATAACCTAAATTATGCATTATTCTTGCACCCAATTTTAAAGTCAGTTTGAAATAGTTCACTTTTAAGTGAACATTTTAGTTTCGTAACACTCACTTAGAGTTCACTTTAATCCAAAAATCAAGTTTTATGCTAATGTAACTTTAAGTTTAGCTATGTATTACACAGCTGTGTCCATTTTTTCTTAATTCTTCCACATTCTTAACATAATTTGCCACTACTAAAGCTTTTACCTTTGACTCAGTGCTTGGTTAAAAAGTTATTTGGTGATTTACTTTCTCAAATCCAGTTTTTATTATTGCATCCATATTAACAGTAATGCTGTAATTTAATAATGTATTTAATTGTATTTACACTACATATAACGTTTACCTTGTAATAACATACCGACATAACCTCAATCTTACTTTTTCTTCTAATTCTTTTTTGGGGCTACGTCCTTGACAGTTATCCGGTAACCTCGTTCTAACATGAAAGCGCAGTAAATTTTGCTGATTTACGACACCAGGTGTCGCTCTTCCGAACTTGCACGGTCCCAATAACAAACTTTTGTAGATTCAAAAATGTCATCGAATAACTGTGGTGTAGTGTGCGTTCAAAGCATCATCGGTAAAAGTTCGATCGAACTTTTATCGCCGTCCAAATTCGATGTGTATGCGTCTAGCCGTACGCTATTTGCACACACACACACATCGATTTTGGATGGCCAGTATAAAATCGGCCGAGATTTTATTGGTAGCAGATGCTTGCAGACTGACCGGATTTTTACCGGTCAAACAATCAGTTTCTTGGTTTTCGTGACACGAGTTTATTGAACAATTATGAATCCTAAACGAGTTGTTGCTATTTGTTTATTATATCGCCTTATTAAGCAACGCACGTAAAAATAGATGATGATCTGGAAACTATGAAAATAGACCTTGGCACAGGTGTGAGACAGGGCGACACCATCTCACCCAAGTTATTTACTTTGGCATTAGAAAATGTTTTCAAACAACTAAATTGGGCCGAAAATGGATTAAAAATAGATGGAGTATATCTTAACCATTTGCGTTTTACAGACGACATAGTATTAATAAGCACAGCAATCCATGAACTAAAATCAATGCTACAAGATTTAAATCACAAATCGAATCAAATAGGATTAAAAATGAATCTCGACAAAACAAAGATATTAAGCAATAGCCTAGAAAACATCATGATAGATAACATCAATATAGAAAAGGTAGAACAATATAAATATATATCTAGGACATGCAATTAAAAAGGAAAAGGAAAATCAAACCCTAGAAATTAAAAGAAGGACACAATTATCATGGGCTGTTTTTGGTAAGTTGAGCTTCATTTTAAAAGACAGAAAAATCCCAATTCACTTAAAACGAAAAACTTATGACACTTGTATACTACCAGTTGCAACTTATGGATTGGAAACTATGGCAATAACAAGAAAAATGGCAGAACAATTAAGAGTAACTCAACGGGCTATGGAGAGGGCCATGTTAAATATAAGCCTCAGAAACAAAATTGCTAACACCGAAATACGTCGAAGAACTAAAGTAACCAACATCATGGGAAAAATAGCGACATTGAGATGGCAATGGGTAGCACATGTAGCAAGACAAGACACCAACAGATGGACACTCTGGAGACCTCGAGAAACAAAAAGAACCGTGGGAAGACCTAAAAAGAGATGGATATACGATATAACTGCTGTAGCTGGAAAGCAGTGGATGAGAATTGCAAAAGATAGGGAAGCGTGGAAGCAATTGGAGGAGGCCTATGTCCAACATTGGATAAATGAAGGCTGAAGAAGAAGAAGATTAAGCAACGTGGGATTAAGCGCAAGTGGTGGATTCATCCACCACTCACTCACTCACCACGACAAAGAACATACGGGAATATTCTATAAGTTTTTCAACTTTTTCAGAATGTCTATTACATCATTTGTAGAACTTCATGAAAATCACCCATTGCAATCTTAATAAACAGTTACTACCAAAACTAGTTTAAAACGGATGTGTTTCTGCTGTCGATTTCCTTCGTACCTACAATTTCACTGAGCAGTCGACTGGAATGACCGAAAAAAAAAATCGTTGCAAGTGTGCAAGCCTGTATTTAGTCACCTACGCCACCACTTTCGGATACTGCCGGCGAAGCAGTGGCAGTGGTCAGCTGCTTGTCGGCATCTTACTACCACCGATTCTCACACTAATGAAATTTGAAAACGGTGTGTGTGCAATTCACTTTATTCATTTAAAAATAAACCTGCTCAGCAATCTGTTTTAATATATATCGTGTAACTTTAATAATTCAGAAAACCAGCTTTTCTTCTAGCAATTAATTTCGTCAAAGATATTATAAAATTACACACAAAAACTTTGAAGATTTTATTTTAGGCGTAGAGTTTTGACAGTATATACATATTATGGTTTAGCTAGCATCGTACGCCTAATAGCCATAAAGTCTACCACTATTTAGTGTGTTATTAGATACCTACGTAATAAGTCTGCATAAACGGGAGAGAAGTATTAAATGGCATAAGTGTAAAGTATAAAAATACTGTATAAATTGTCAACTTAAACACCCTGTAGCGAATTAATGATTTACAAATACTATTATTTTTAAACAAGCATTCTTCAGTTAAATTAATAGTGTACATTAACGAAACACCCTGTATAAGTACCCTAACGCAAAGATTTCTCTGTCAAAATATATATTCCGATCTATTTTTCAACGAAAATAAAAAATCTTGTTGAGTTTCACGTCCTGATTGTCAGAGTTCTTTCCTAGAGGTGGTCAGCCCGGGAGTACTCTTCTGATGAACAGGTACTCAGAAAATTGCTGTCCTTCCACTCCGCCACCGTTGCTGGCTGCTATCTTGAAGCCTGCGTTCAGTAACCTCGTTATCACTTGCATTGAGTTTAGTTTGCAATAACCATTTAAAGGAAACCTGGAAAAGAAGAGTTCAGTTAATTTTGGAAAGTTTTTATCAGAGGAATTTTCATACAAAGATTCCATATACCTAAGACTACATTAATCGGTAAAATAATAAAATGGATTTATTTAAATAAGTAATTGTTACTTGACTAAAGTTCTTGTTTAATAATTATACTGAACACTCAAAACTGTTTTTTAGTGTCCACAGAATATAGTCGATTTGACATATTTCGTTGAAACATTAGTTTCTTCAGAAAAATAATAATTTTAAAGTAACTTTTTCTGCACAAATAATAATAAGAGTATGTGTTTGAATATTACGGCGGAATAAAATGTTTTATATTTTTTTAAAAATAGAATACCAGAGAACACATGTGTAGAGCATTTTGAGAACTTATTAACAGAGAGAAGAGAAAGGTTTAAATCGACAAATGAGCAAGTGAAAGTAGAAGGAAGAATAGAAATAGCAATAGAACAAGTGAAAGAAGCAGTTAAGGGAATTAAATTAAGAAAATCTCCAGGCCCAGGCAGAGTACATCCAGAGTTGATTAGGTATGGATCATCAAAACTGTTTGAAATAATCCGAAAATATTTCAAAAAATGCTTTAAATGAAGAAGAAGTTCCAGAAGAATGGAGACAATCGTATATATCTCTCCAATACATAAGAAAGACACAAAGACAGATCCTAAAAACTATAGAGAGATCGCAGTGATTGCTACTATAGGCCGTATATAGTCAAAATTACTACAAAACCTGATAGAAAATGATATTAAAGACAAACAACCCGAAAAACAAGCGGGATTTATAGACGGACGCTCCACACTATGGATAATATTTTCACATTAAAAATTGGAATGGAAAAACGAGTGCAGAGAAATAGAGAAATCCATATAGCTTTAATAGATTTGGAAAAAGCATATAATAGTGTATCAATCTCCCAACTAAGAATAGAAATGGGTAACTTAAAATTAAACCCAATTCTTATTAACGCCACTCAAAAATACTACGAACAAAACTTTGCAAGAATTAAAATGGGACAAGAAATCACCTCTCCTTTTCAAAGGGACTAAGACAAGGCTGCTGTGTGTCACCCATCTTATTTAAAATCTATTTGGACAGATCCTTAGTGAAATGGGTAAAAAAATGTAGAAACATGGGAATAACGGTGGAAGAAAACACGCTATATACATTTTTCTTTGCGGATGACCAGGTAGTAATTGCCGAAGACAACTACGATCTTAGCTGTATGGTAAGAAAACTGCAAGAAGAATATGAGTGAGATGATAATATACATCCACAGAGACGTTGTATAGTACGTACGGAATAAGTTGTTGCTAATGTAGAGCGGAGCATAGAGGAAGAACCTAATTAGTCTCTTCGCTATCGTGCACAGCAGTTGGATATGTATCCATCCACTTTATGGAAGATTTTTCAAAGTAATCTTGGTTTATGTGCTTACAAAATCCATATCGAGTAAGAATTAAAGCTATACAATAACCTAGCAAGGCGTAGACTCTGTGAATGGGCCCAAAACTATATTGCCGTTGATCCTGATCTTCATAAGCGAATTTTGTTTAGCGATGAAGCTCACTTTTGGTTAAATGGCTATGTCAACAAACAAAATACAGTTGGAGTGAAGATAATCCTTATTTGTATGTTGAGTTGTACACTGACTGTTTGGTGTGCTTTGTGGGCTGGTGGAATCATTGGTTCGTACTTGTTTCTACTTTCGTAAGTCTTTCTACTAGTCGTGAATGATAAGGTGCATTATCTAATACTTTAATTGACTTTGGTGGTATGTGTTTAATTATCTGCTCAAAATACTCTTCGAAAACATTAGCTGTCATCTCCTCGTGATAGTCTTTTGTGTTTTTGGACTGAAATTCCAACAAACCATGTTTAACAAATCTTTTTTCACTGCCAATGTGAGAAATTATTAATCTACTGCCTTTACCAGAAGGTGGGTAGATACCAGTAGACCAACCTTCCATAAAGGCTTGCCTGGAGCTTAATAGATATTTATCTGACCAAATTTTTTTTAGAGTATGACCTGAGTTTACCTACGTTTCATCCTGGTAGAAGATTGGCCTTCCTTCAGCCCGGAATTTTCGTATGGATCTTAGATAATTTCTTCTCCAACATATTATCTCCTCCCGGTCAATCAAAAGTAATTTTCGGTCTGATTTCTCCTACTGGAAATTTAATTCTTTTAAAACTTACCACAATTTAGTTCGTCCAATATGAGGCAAATCCGGGTCGTCTCTAACTTCTTGTATAATTTTGTTTGGGTTTAGTATTTCTTTTTTGAAAAAAAATCCATAGGTATATGGAATAAAAAATCACTAACGCACTGCAAATAATTCGCAAAAGAAATATTCGAGACGCTAATTACTGCCGTAGACGCGGAAACACCGACGAGCCGTAAATTACAGGCAATCAAAAACGTACTAAACAAAAAAGTTGTTTTCGTTCGTAATATCTTTACCCTTTCAAGTTTAGTTTCGAATATAAACAGAACAGACGAGGCACGTGGCCAAAGCCGGCATCTTTATACCCGTTATATCATTAAAAATCTGGGGAATTCCATCCTAATTGTCTTGCAACGAATAGTACCTTCGGATATGAATTCCAGGTTTTCTAGTAAAGTGATTAAACGGGAAGATTAGTATTGAAATATCTAAAGAGATAAGGTATTCTTATTTACAAAATTGTTAATGGTTAAATTTTTATTTTTATTAATACAATATAATAACCAACATTAGCCGTGAAAGTTTTAATTGTTTCTTGCTAAATATATTAGTATTAAACATTATTAATATTGATAAACATTTTGTAAAGGAAAATAAATGTAAAACGCATTAATTTTAATGAATACGAAACACCTCAGGAACGCCTATGATGATACAAATTTTACGACCGTTTTATGACTTTGAGGCACATTTGGTGCTCTCAACAATTTGTGAACGGATTATAAGTTATAAATGCCGTACAAATATGTTTAACGAAGAAGTCCCCCCCCCCTGAGTGGTACATTTATCTTACGTGTGACTCATCTGTATCGATAAGAATTGACGACATAGTTTCTAAATTTGTTTTTACATATTATAGTATTGTTTTATATGTTATTCAAGCTAGGTCAAATGCCCCATTACAAATCTCCCATGAGCTTGTAGTCTATTATCAAAAACCAAAAATATATAATATACAAACCTAATAACATGATGAGCATCTTGTTGATTCCAAGCCACTCCTGATCTAGCGTCCATCACCGCCTGATTGGTTTCGGGAAAAACCTCATCGAGAAGCGATCTGCCACCGGAGAGCATGATGCGTTCCCCCAGATCGGGACTTACGTGCATCGCTACGCACTCGTACATTTCTTGTCCTAGTCGGTTGTTCTCACCTGTTTTGTGATATTGTCCAGGGTCGTCTCCCACCGGTTGGGGCTTGTGGGACACCAAGCCGTTTTTTAACCGCTCTTTTTTGAGTTGTTCCAGGTGTCTCACCATAGCTGCAAATAATATACATACGTTTTTCATTACGTAAGAGAAAGCCTGCTGTTGGTTAACTATTTTTGAATATATGCATAATTGCTGTACTCTATTTCTGATTTTTAGAAATATAGTACAGTTTTTGTCATGAAAAATTAAATACTCAAATCGCCCCTTCAATTCTAAGAATATTTTCTAGACGATGGTCTTTTATACATGAGAGTAAATATCTAAATTTATTTTCTTCAACTGATTTTTTGTTTTTTTTTAATTTTCAGGTCGAAGAAACAAGTCCTTATGCCCTGCAGTATCAGGAATGAAATCAGAAAAAAGCTCACATATTACCACGTGGTAAAACACTGATGTCATCAAAATAAAACGATTCCTGGATATAGTTATATGGATGGGATTATGTCATTTTCCATCTTTTCATTCGTACTACTCAAAAGAATGATCTTAATCTGAATAATGTGAAGATCGTTCCCTTGGTTAGCAGACTGAAAGATAAATTCAAGGCTGCCATCGTTGGAACTATGGCAGCTATGGAACGAAAGAACATGCTGAAGGTAGCATGGTACCAACAAATGTAGTGATGAAACTTATGGATGGACTGCTTGACAAAGAAGGAACACTTGCGATTGATAACTACTACAGTTCTGTCACTCTTGCACATAGATTCCTACGCCGAAAAACTTATATGTTGGGTACGCTACGTGCAAGATGCAAATATAATCCCTAAAACGTCATTTCCAACAAATTAAAAGTAGGCGAACATGTAGCCGAACACAGTTATTCGGTCATCGTTGTTTATAAGTGGAGCGACAAGTGAGATGTGCTGATGATTAGTACCAAATTCACTGACGAAATGCAGAGGCACGCGGTGATGTTGTAAAGCCAAAGAATGTCATCTAATATCTTCTTATGGTGCCCTATCCAATTAGTAGTTGTTGGCGACAATTCTGGCATACTCCTCTCGATCTTGTGTAGCTCTAAAGAGTGCATGAGTATCGAGGTTTGTCCAATCCCTTATGTTTTTAAGCCATGAGTATTTCTTTCGTTCGATGCCCCGTTTTCCTTCTATCTTCCCTTCCATAATTAGAACTGGTACTTGGAATTTCCAATCGTATGACACAGATAAGTAGTTTCCTTCTTTGTATTATTGGCAGCAATTCTAGTTCTCTGCCCATTCGATTTAATACTTGCGACATTTGTTGTATGATGTGGAATTTTAAGTATTCTTCTAAATATCTACATTTCAAAGGCTTTCAATCGGTTTATCACATTGGCCTTTATGGTCCAGGTTTCTACACCATATAGCAGTATAGAGTAAATGTAAACATTTTACAATTATTTACGTTTTACATTTATTAGATTTCGTGTTCGACTAACCACCATTACCTTCTTCTTGTCTATATTAATATTCAAGCCCAGTCGTTCTCCCTCAGTGTTTATTCTATATATTAGTCGTCACAAAAGACAAGAGGCAGACCTCCTATGAGACGGACAGATGATCTGAAAAGGACTGCCGGGAAAAATTGGCTACAAGTAGCGTACAATAAAAAACAATGGAAAGGAAGAATTGAAAAGGCTTACGTTCATATGTGGACGTGAATGGCTAGACGAAGAAGAGAAGAAGAAGCGCTTCTTGGCTATCAGCTATTATGACTTTATCATCAGCATAGCGAAGATTACTAATGTTCTGTCCGTTGATTCTGATTCCATCTTCAGTGTCACTTGGGGCTCTTTTGAAAATCGTTTCAGAGTAACGATTAAAAAGGAGGGGTGGCAGAACACAACCCTGTCGTACACCTTTTTCGATTGAGAAATATGATGTAGATTCCAGTCCTACTCTCACAGATGCCATTTGATCATATAAAGGTTCTTTATGATTCCTGGAGCAATCTTACTAATTCTGAATGATTAACACAATTGAACGCTTTTTGGTAATCTATAAACCATAGGAAAACATATTTTTGCTGATCTCTGCATTTCTGAAGTAGGACAGTTAAGCTATAAAGTGCTTCTCTTGCCAAATCCTTGTTTGAAATCGAACTGTGTGAGGCTAATGTCTCTTTCACATCTGTTGTATATTCTTGTGTGAAATTTTTAATTAAAGTTTTTAATCTTTGTTATCTTTAAGAAAAGTTTTAGGACCTGGCTGAATAAGCTAATCATTCGGAATTGGTCGCATCTATTAGCGTTTGGCTTTTTTGGGATTTGCTCTGTTTGATTACCCTTAGTACTTCTGACATCAATATTTTTTTTTTGGGGGAGGGGGTTCACTTTTATATTCTCTTTCAAATTTCTTCTAGTGTTGTCTGATGACAGTTGCTGTGTGTAGTTTCTACAATGTTGAAGTAGATCGTTGGGATCAGTAATTAATTTATTGTGATTCATAACACTGTTAAAACTGCATCTAATATAATAAATATAAAAACTTCATTGACATATCAGATCAAATGAAAAGCTATAATTCGCCATTACGTAAAAGGAATAAAATAGTACAGAAAATTATCGATGGAACTCTTCACTGTCACAGCACTTATAAATGCCTATGCTGCACATCAAAGCATTGCCAATGAAATTCCCAAAATTGCCAAGTAATCGTATGACGATTACCAAATTCAAGGAAAAGGTAATTTCCCTTTCCTATTAGGAGATTTTATTGACACACCAATCATTATGCATTATTGATCGTTGACCATTATTGATCGTGCAGTCAGAAGACAATGTACAACGTGTTACGCAAAAATGGTAGAAGAGGAAGGAAGACAAGTAGCATAGAGGAAAGCAACCAAAATCTTATTGACGGCTTATGTGATGGCTGCAAAACATTCTATTGTCTAGGCTGAATTTTTGTCATGCATTCCGAGACAAAAAATAAATTAAATTAGTACTTTAGATACAATTTTGATATAATAATGTCATTACGTTTTGCTTTATGAAAATAAATCTTACTTTGCTTAAAATGTGTTCTTACTATGAACATATAACAAAAAATAATATAAAACAAATGACGGTATTATATTTTGATTTGATACAGATATAATAGATATATTATATTATAGGTATAATACCGTCATTTGTTTTGTTTATTTACTTCATTTGGAGTACCAGAAATCGAATTCACTACGAATATAGGCCATGATGAACGGCATTTGGAGTTAGACTCCCTTGCCGATGTATTCATCAAGCTGTTTGCTTCGCAAGTCTTAGGGGGCACGGCGGCTTATATTTGAATTCGATTTCGCCAGATAGAAATCGTATGATTTTTCTTTTTGTTAAAAAATAATATAATTACGCAATTATTTCAAAAGCACAGGCCAAGTAAGTAGACCATCTAGCCAGGCTCGAAATGTCCCAGTGTTTTTTAAAAGAGTTCAAAAAGTCGCTGTTGAGCTACACAACATTTTCTGATGATCTAGCGTGTGTGAGTCCTGAGATATAACTTTTATGTGTGAGTCCGTGTTGGCCTCTCATGGCACTTAACCTCTTAACCCTCCGTTAGTCGCTAGCAAAAACTGAGCATCAAGAGTCGCTACGGTGTCAGAGACCGACAATTAAAAAAAATAGTTTTTAATATAAAATTCATACAAATGTTTTATATTGTGTATGAAAATAACTGAAAAAATATTTTTGAAAATATTTTATTGAAAAAAATAACAAATACAAAATGAAAAACACTAGTATAACAATATATATTGTGAATATTGTTCTCAAGCTATTTTCTCGTTGCATTTTAAAGTAATTACTGTTAAAATGGAAATAAGCTACAATTAAAGGTTAAAATAAGTTTATTGACGTTTTAATTTCCACTTCGGATATCGTTCTCAAAATATAAACATTAGTTTTTATTACGTACTATGTAATTTTCTTGTTTTGTTCTAACATTTCACGGTTGAATAGCCTTTTTCCATCTAGTAACTCTATATTTTTTAATAAACGCTAAGATATTACTTCCACTTTCTTCTTTCTCATCTGTCACATCTTGTTCCGATTGTTCCACTATCACGTTCCTCAGTTTGATCGATTTCGCTTTCACTTCCCTCATCGTCAAAATAATTTTCATCGTCGGTAGGATCCATTGTCCCTAATTCCAACAAGCGTTGGAATCAAAGTTGTTCGGCTTCAAAGGACATCTATAAATAATAATTGACAAAAACTTACCATAAAATGCAATAATAAGGTGATAAATATTTACGTGTTCTGTAAGTTCTGCAATAAGTAATAGCAACACCGTTAGTCGCTACGGAGTCTGGCACCGAAAATAACTATAAAACTCATACAACTGTACCCAGGAAGGTAAGAATGTACACTAACACGAGTTTGGTTGATAGGGAGAGGTACAGAAAGTGGCGATAGAAAAATAACAGTTATTTGTAAATCCAGAATAAATAATTCTGTCATCGGTGTGTGAGACCGATAGCGACTAACGGAGGGTTAAGAATGTTTTTTATTATTTTATCTCCGTAAATAATTTTACTAATGAAATAAAAGAAACCATTTTATTTTAAAATTATATGAGTTTGGCCTTTCTTATTGTTGTATTAACTTTTAAGCTGAAACTTACGTGTAATATCAAAGTATTTGGCTTCCTCCAATAACAAATCTAGGTCCTGGAAATTATCGGGAATGAGCAGCCTCGAATTTCGCATAAAATTTAAAATATGCCTAAACATTCCACCGTCCCTATCGATGAAATAATGTTGTTTCAGTGAATCCAAAACTATGGGAATGCTTCCATTGAAAAGTTTCGCTAACCGCGATTCTGGGTATCTGAAACAAATAGAAATACATAATTAATCGATTCGACCAATATTTAAATTCAATTTATATATTTAAAACTAAAAAGCAGACTCCATCTCTATGGCGAAAAGATTATAACAAATTTAGTTAAAATCTTTTTATTTGTTGCATATAATACAATCTTTCCTACGTGCAGTCATTGATCAACGTCCCATAATAAATTCCCGCTTCAGCATTATATCATTTTATTCTTGAAACACGGAATAAGGAAACCATCTTACTTAGAGTAAATCTGTATTAAGCCGAAACTGATACCTACGAGACTATCATAAATTATTCGCGGCCATAAATTGAAGAAAACGACAGCACAAGGCTGACCTACCTTTTGCAACTTCACTCACTAGAGAAGTATTTAAAAGGTAATCCAACAAAAATGCTCAGAGCGAAATTCATCAATATTTATATATTGTGTTTGGAATTATTATAATCATTGGTGTCGGCGGAATTTCCTTAATTTAATATTATTAGACAACATTGTATGGCTATATTCATATTTTCAAAATGGCTCTTTTTAATTCAAGAATTTTGCACTTTAACAAATGTGGTTAGTATGTATGTTTGATTAAGTATGTTTGATAATATGTTCATTTTAATGAATGCTTTTCCGTATTGCAGCATACAATGTGTCAATAGATACATGGTATGGAAATCTTAGCTAAAAGTGGTAGAAAAAATACTATTTGCAATTACTTTAAATAAGTCCTAATTATAAAGGTAATTCCGAATAAACTTCTAGAAAACACCAAAAAGTTCAGGATCTTAATTAATATTTCTATAATAATCCAGTCAATGAAGGTAAAATAAATCGTTACTGCGTAATTTTCTGAGCCTGTGTATGAGCCTATTCCCTTTTCTATTTTAAGTAGTGTAAGCATCAATGGATCTCAGCGTTCTCGTTTCAGTTGTCCTTAGAAATCTTGGTTGTAGCTGTTCTTGCTCTGGTCATTACTGGCCATTACTGGTCGTATGGAGATCTTGTTAGTCCAGATAGTGTCACGTAGGTATCCAGATATCATTGCTGCTCTATTAGTTTGAGCTTCGACTTCCTCCTTGAAGTTTCTGCTAATATGTAGATGTGTCAGAAAATTTGTGGGAGATATTACAGCATATCAGGGTACCCATGGTTCAATAATATGGAAAGAGTTTCCTCAGAGTTCAATACTTTTGATATCCTAGGTATTTGGGCAAGTAAAGATTTAAGTTAGCTAAGGAATTGTTAACTACACGTCTCAATTTTGCGAAGGAAATTAAAATGGTATAAAAATGTTCGAAAATGTTGGCAATATAAGTTGGGGAATTTTTATGTTAAAACTCTTTTATTTGAGGATGATTAGGTGATTGTTCTAGCTAAATATATTGACATTATATATTATGACTAATCATAAAAGAATCCATGATTTAAATAATTATAAAACATGGTTTAAGTGCCATAGTTCAAATTGATGGGCAACAGAAGAAATGAAGATCTGTAGAGAAGGTGTTTTATCGCCACTTTTGTTTAACTTATATTCTGAAGAAATTTTCCAAAACACGCTCAGTAATATCTGTGGTGTCCGCATCTAATCATATTAAATAATAAGGATTGAAGACTGAATTAACACTTTATTAGTTTACCCAAAAACGTGTACAGTAAAAATATGCTTATTATAGGTTATATATCTATGAAGTTAGCTACTACTAAAACTACCGCTTGGTAGAGGTGGAAGATAACATATTCGACATAACTGTTAAAGGGTGCATACATTACATCCCTCCCCACCAAGATCCTGAATAAAAAAAACAATCTTAGTATTAATTACACATTTAAACGATCCGGCGGTCTAATGTTTTTTCTTAATCTGCCCTTAATATTGGGCGACTGCCACCCACCTATTGATTGTGACACTTTATCTTTATTTGGTGAAGAGACCGTACTATCCTTGTTTGGTGAAAGGACCGCACTAGTGTCTTCACTTGGAAATTCTGTTTCAACACTATCCAACACTTGAGCTGTAGCTCCTTGAGTCTCATTGGTATTTGTTAATGTTACACAAGCTTGAGTTTCCTGTAACGGCATTTGCGAATTTACAGAAGAATTTGGAACTGAAATCAGTGGATCAAAAGTATCTCTACCCTCGTCATCTGAAACTCTAGAATTTTCTTCATCATAAAAATGACCACATTTTACGATTTGATCCAAATGTCTTTTCCATTCAAGACTTGGATTATCTAAAGGCTGACATAAAAATGTTTGATGACCTAATTTCCTAACTATCCTACATTTTGCCCATTTAGGCTTTTGCGGATTGACTCTGTAATCCCTAACATAAACATTTTCCCCTTCTATAAATTCCACCACCCTATTACCTTTATGGTATTTTATTTGCCGTTCCCTAGCTCTCAATGTTTTATCATTTAACGTTAAAAAGTCCAATCTAGTTTTAATTTTTCGCCCAAACATGAGATAGGCAGGAGTTTGACCTGTTACTGAATGTGGGGTTGTCCTATACGAAAATAAATATTTTGAAATCAACTCAGATATATTCTGGTTCTGGGAGCCTGTTAACATTTTGTTTATTGCATATTTTAAGGTTTTAACTGCATTTTCGGCAGCTCCGTTCGTTGCCGGATGATAAGGAGCTGAAGTTTTTATGAATAATACCGTTATTCTTACAAAATAGTTGAAACTCCTCTGAAATAAACTGTGGACCATTATCTGAAATAATTTGATTTGGCAAACCAAATCGGGCAAAACAGTCCCGAAGTTTACTGATGGTATGGGCTGAGTCAGTCTTTGACATTTCATATGCCTCGGGCCACTTCGAGTATGCATCTGAAATAACCAGATAAGTCTTACCATGATATGGTCCTAAAAAATCAATGTGAATTCTATCAAACACATGAGCTCCTTCTTGGAATTTAATTAATGGTGCCTTCGGTGGTGTTACAGCATTTTTCAAACATGCTTCACAAGATTTCACAAATGATTCAATATCTCCATCTAAGCCGGGCCACCAAAAATATTGCCTTGCTACTGTTTTCATTCGAACTATTCCACTATGAGTACTATGCAATTCATGTAAGATTTGATTATGAAACTTGGAAGGTACTACTACCCGATACCCCCACATAATCAAATCATTATCTAGAGTGAGCTCATTAGCCCTATTTGCATATGGTTTCAATTCATCTGGAACAGATCTGGGCCAGCCATCTCTTACATAATTGAAAACTTTACTCAAATTACTTTACTTACAATTTCTAAAGTCATGTTTAATTCCTCCACATGCATTACACTTAAACTCCCCATACGAACCTCTCTCTCCTCTTTTTCCTTCTTCACGTGGTTCTCTACTTCTGCCTTGGTTAAAACTGGTACTAGTACTTGCTATCTTATTAACTGGAACTGAATAATTCGTTTCTGCTGCTGAAACTTCTTTTTTCAATGCCAACTCATATAGATGTTCTAAGGTTACCATATGATCTTCCTCACATAGGCGATCCAGAACTGGCCCTTTTCTTACACCACAGACAAACTTGTCTTTTAAAACATTGTTCAACATGGTTCCAAACTTGCATTCTATTGCTTTATTCTTAATTCTTACATAGAAGTCCCCAACAGATTCATTTTCAGCTTGTCTTAAGGCATAAAATTCTATTCGTTGCTTAAAAACAGAAACTTTTTTAGAGAATTGGTTTTTTAAAAGGATACATAGCTCATCAAACGTCTTATTTTTGGGTAGAACTGGGTCACACAATCCTTTTAATACTTCGTAGGCCCTATCGCCAATTATGGTTAGTAATACAGGAACCATTCTATCATTCTCTACATAATTTGCGATAAAATATTGCTCTAACCTCTCCTGATATATGTTCCAATCGGTACCTATCCGGTACTCTTGTAGGCTGCCTATTGTGCCTCTCAAAACACTCACCTGAGTGGCAGGAGTTATTGAACTTTCCATTTTGCACCTTGCAAATACTATTTAAAATGTCGAAGCGCCTTGCTTGTAATGGTAGTGTTGCACCTTGCAAATACTAATTTTAAACGTCCAAGCGCCTTGCTTGTAATGGTGATTTATTTGTTATTTATCCTCGTCGCCATATTATGTGGTGTCCGCATCTAATCATATTAAATAATAAGGATTGAAGACTGAATTAACACTTTATTAGTTTACCCCAAAAACGTGTACAGTAAAAATATGCTTATTATAGGTTATATATCTATGAAGTTAGCTACTACTAAAACTACCGCTTGGTAGAGGTGGAAGATAACATATTCGACATAACTGTTAAAGGGTGCATACATTACAATATCAAAGCGGGAGTTACCGTTAAGGGAAGATTAATTAACAACTTAAGATATGCAGACGACACTGTGAGCATAGCAACGAGTATAGAAGATCTACATCTTATCTAAAGCTTAATTATGAATAGTGCTGAGATGGGAATTACTATAAACGCTAAAATAACGAAGTATAGCATTTTTTCACATAAAAATGTTTGCACGTCACAATTTATGTAAAGTCACGTCACTTATATTTAAAATTTCCAGGACGTCAACCAATAATCAGAACAATGTAATCATCATTATATTGGAAATTTTTGAATTATATTGATTAAATAACCAAAAACATTTGTTATTATTAATAATATAATTTTTATGAAATAACTCTTTAAGTCTAATATTCCACAAAATATTAATTTTAATTAAATATATTAGATAATTGTACGCAACTGATAAGGGAATACTTCAAATTTTATTGACAGTTTAGCGTGTGGCAAAAGTGTATAAAGTGTTGCCTATTTTTTAGAGTAGGAATTTGGTTTATGTTTTGGATTTCTTACACAATTTGATCATAATATAATATATATTAATAAATTGTATTTATAA